TTCCTTTCTCCTTCCTTCCTTCTTTATTTCTTTCTTTTTTTATATATTACAATAGTTTTGCTTATCAAATATTATTTATCCAAAATACACCTAATAAAATTTTTTTGAAAAGATGTCCCTCTTCCTYAATTAATTCTGAGTTTATATGCTCAATCTGGATTAAGTATCACTTATTCTTGTTTACAGGAATTTGAATTGACACAAGAAAGCTTAAGGATGAAAGCCCATAACCCCAGTGGTGCATCATTCATTGCTTTGAGAGTGAGTACCTTGACTCCAGACATGACCTTTCCTATTATCTCATTTACTACCTTTATCCTTGAAGTTTAACCTGTGAAATTTGATATTTTTTCTTTCACACTGACTAGCATTTCAATGACTGTCAAACAGAGAACTGAAATAAAATAAAAAAATTTGTGGGAGATTTTGGACTGAATTAAAGAATTTAATTTATAATATAATTGGGATACTACACGTGCTATGATTGGTCGAAAACCATGTTTGATGAGAGTATCAAAACACGCTACCGTCATTTTTAATCTATCGTGCGCGCTTATTGGTCAGTTTGAACAAGACTGCACGTAGGGMGACTTTGCTTTTTTCWGATCTTTTTGAGCGTTTGTTATTTTATAAAACAWMTCAAAAACAGTTTTCTGTGTTTGATACTCTGATCAAAACACTTGGGATGTTGGGAGAACACTYRAGAAGCTGGAAACCACTCCGCTACGCGTYGTGGTTTCCTAMGTTCCTCTCGTGTTCTCTCAACATCCCGCGTGTTTTGATCAGAGTATCAAACACGGAAAACTGTTTTTGATCTGTTAATTTAAACATTGAGAAATTGCACACAAATTAAAAACCAAACACGCCCTATTTCTATTGTTTAATGTTGGGTTTAAATTTCGATGCAAAAAAACCTATCCCAGGTTTTGAATTCAGCATTGATACTAACAGGGGAGAGCGGGGCTGAATTCAAAACCCGGGAAAGGTTTTCCATCAAAATTCAAACCCTCCATCAAACATTAAAAATAGGGCTTGTTTGCTTTTTTAGCCACAGTTAAAACACCAGGGCGAGGATTTGCATTGAAATCCAAGACCAAGGGCCGCATAACCTTTACTTAAATCATTTTTGAGAGAAAAAAAACTCAAAATCCTTCCATCTCTCATTAATGCTACATACTCTTCCCCCTCCACCCCCGTCCACCC